TGGAAAATGGCAAATGTGATACTATTTTCAAAGCAGGTGACAGGTCCTTAGCTTCGAACTATAGACCAATAAGCCTAACCTCCATAGTGGGAAAATTTATGGAATCAATAATTGCCGAGGCAGTTCGTAGCCACCTTGAAAAGCATAAATTAATCAACGAATCTCAGCATGGTTTTACAAAGGGACGTTCCTGCCTTACGAATTTATTAACTTTTTTCACTAAGGTATTTGAGGAGGTAGATCATGGTAACGAATATGATATTGTGTATATGGACTTCAGTAAGGCTTTTGACAGGGTCCCACATCAGAGACTATTGAGGAAAATTAAAGCACATGGAATAGGAGGAGAAATTTTTTCCTGGATAGAGGCATGGTTGACAAATAGGCAGCAGAGAGTTTGCATAAATGGGGAGAAAAACAGAGTGGGGAAGCGTCACGAGCGGTGTTCCACAGGGGTCAGTGTTGGGCCCCTGCTGTCACAATCTACATAAACGACATAGATGAGGGCATAAAGAGCGACATCGGCAAGTTTGCCGATGACACCAAAATAGGCCCTCGAATTCATTCTGACGAGGACATTCGAGCACTCCAGGAAGATTTGAATAGACTGATGCAGTGGTCGGAGAAGTGGCAGATGCAGTTTAATATAGACAAATGCAAAGTTCTAAATGTTGGACAGGACAATAACCATGCCACATATAAACTAAATAATGTAGATCTTAATATTACGGATTGCGAAAAAGATTTAGGAGTTCTGGTTAGCAGTAATCTGAAACCAAGACAACAGTGCATAAGTGTTCGCAATAAAGCTAATAGAATCCTTGGCTTCATATCAAGAAGCATAAATAATAGGAGTCCTCAGGTTGTTCTTCAACTCTATACATCCTTGGTTAGGCCTCATTTAGATTATGCTGCACAGTTTTGGTCACCGTATTACAGAATGGATATAAATTCTCTGGAAAATGTACAAAGGAGGATGACAAAGATGATCCCATGTATCAGAAACCTTCCCTATGAGGATAGACTAAGGGCCCTGAAACTGCACTCTCTAGAAAGACGTAGAATTAGGGGGGATATGATTGAGGTTTATAAGTGGAAGACAGGAATAAATAAAGGGGATGTAAATAGTGTGCTGAAAATATCTAGCCTAGACAGGACTCGCAGCAATGGTTTTAAGTTGGAAAAATTCAGATTCAGGAGGGATATAGGAAAGTACTGGTTTGGTAATAGAGTTGTGGATGAGTGGAACAAACTCCCAAGTACCGTTATAGAGGCCAGAACGTTGTGTAGCTTTAAAAATAGGTTGGATAAATACATGAGTAGATGTGGGTGGGTGTGAGTTAGACCTGATAGCTTGTGCTAACAGGTCGGTTGCCGTGTTCCTCCCTTAAGTCAGTGTGACCTGACCTGACTAGGTTGGGTGCATTGGCTTAAGCCGGTAGGGACTTGGACCTGCCTCGCATGGGCCAGTAGGCCTTCTGCAGTGTTCCTTCGTTCTTATGTTCTTATGTTCTTATATGACAGGGTGGATAGGAGGGGCAATGTGGCAGATGTATGGTATAGGAGGTAGGTTACTGAAAGCAGTGAAGAGTTTTTATGAGGATAGTGAGGCTCAGGTTAGAGTATGTAGGAAAGAGGGAGATTATTTCTCTGCAGGAGCTTGTCAAAGCTCCTGCAGAGTGAAACGTTGCCACAATAAAATGTCACGTTAGTTGTACCTGTGTCCCTTACCTAACAAGTTCTTAGGGTGTAGTGCGAGTGTAGAGTGCAATGTTTAGTGCAGAGTGTAGTGTTGTGTGTAAAGTTGTTTGGGTGTACTGTGAGTGTAGAGAGTTGTTAGTGTAGTGTGAGTGCACAAAGTTATTAAGGAGTACTGTGAGTGTTGAGTGTAGTGTGTGTTGAGAGTTTCTAGGGTGTAGTGTGAGTGTACAGAGTGCAGTGTTGAGAGTAGAGAGATGTTAGGGTGTAGCATAAGTGTATATAGTGTAGTGCTGGGTTGTAGAGTTGTTAGGGTGAAATGTGTGTGCATATAGTGTAGTGTTGAGTGTAGAGTTGTTAGGGTGTAGTGTGAGTGTATACAATGTAGTGTTGAGTGTAGAGTTGTTAGGGTGTAGTGTGAGTGTATATAGTACAGTGATAAGTGTAGAGAGTTTTTAGGGTGTAGTGTGGGTGTATATAGTGTAGTGATGAGTGTAGAGTTGTAAGAGTGTAGTGTGTGTGTATATAGTTTAGTGTTGAGTATAGAAAGTTGTTAGGGTGTAGTGTGAGTGTATACAGTGTAGTGTTGAGTGTAGAGAGTTGTTAGGGTGTAGTGTGAGTGTATATAGTATAGTGTTGAGTGTAGAGAGTTATTAGGGTGTCGTGTGAGTGTAGAGAGTTGTTAGGGTGTAGTGTGAGTGTATATAGTGTAGAGTGTAGAAAGCTGTTAGGGTGTAGCATGAGTGTATATAGTGTAGTGTTTGAGTGTAGAGAGTTGTTAGGGTGTAGCGTGAGTGTATATAGTGTAGTGTTGAGTGTAGAGAGTTGTTAGGGTGTAGTGTGAGTGTATACAGTGTAGTGTTGAGTGTAGAGAGTTATTAGGGTGTCGTGTGAGTGTAGAGAGTTGTTAGGGTGTAGTGTGAGTGTATATAGTGTAGTGTTGAGTGTAGAGAGTTGTTAGGGTGTAGTGTGAGTGTAGAGAGTAGTTAGGGTGTAGCGTGAGTGTATATAGTGTAGTGTTGAGTGTAGAGAGTTGTTAGGGTGTAGCGTGAGTGTATATAGTGTAGAGTGTAGAGAGTTATGGTGTAGTGTGAGTGTATATAGTGTAGTGTTGAGTGTAGAGATTTGTTAGGGTGTAGTGTGAGTGTATATAGTGTAGTGTTGAGTGTAGAGATTTGTTAGGGTGTAGTGTGAGTGTAGAGAGTTGTTAGGGTGCAGTGTGAGTGTAGAGAGTTAGGGTGTAGTGTGAGTGTAGAGAGTTGATAGGGTGTAGTGTTGAGTGTAGAGTTGTTAGGGTGTAGTGTGAGTGTATACAGTGTAGTGTTGAGTGTAGAGTTGTTAGGGTGTAGTGTGAGTGTATAGTGTAGTGTTGAGTGTGGAGTTGTTAGGGTGTAGTATGAGTGTATACAGTGTAGTGTTGAGTGTAGAAGAGTTGTTAGGGTGTAGTGTGAGTGTAGGGGAGTAGTTAGGTGTAGCGTGAGTGTATTAGTGTAGAGAGTTGTTAGGGTGTAGTGTGAGTGTATATAGTGTAGTGTTAGTGTAGAGATTTGTTAGGGTGTAGTGTGAGTGTAGGAGTTGTTTAGGGTGCAGTGTGAGGTGTAGAGTGTTGGGGTTTGGTAGTGTGGGGTGTAGAGAGTTGATAGGGTGTATTTTGTTGAGTGTAGAGTTGTTAGGGTGTGTGTGAGTGTATACAGTGTAGTGTTGAGTGTAGAGTTGTTAGGGTGTAGTGTGAGTGTATAGTGTAGTGTTGAGTGTGGAGTTGTTAGGGTGTAGTGTGAGTGTATACAGTGTAGTGTTGAGTGTAGAGAGTTGTTAGGGTGTAGTGTGAGTGTATATAGTGTAGTGTTGAGTGTATAGAGTTGTTAGGGTGTAGTGTTGAGTGTAGAGTTGTTAGGGTGTAGTGTTGAGTGTAGAGAGTTGTTGGGGGTTTGTAGTGTTTGAGTGTAGAGAGTTGTTAGGGTGTGGTGTGAGTGTAGAGAGTTGTTAGGGTGTAGTGTGAGTGTACACAGTGTAGTGTTGAGTGTAGAGCGTTATTAGGGTGTAGTGTGAGTGTATACAGTGTGGTGTTGAGTGTAGAGAGTTGTTAGGGTGTAGTGTTGAGTGTAGAGAGTTGTTAGGGTGTAGTGTTGAGTGTAGAGAGTTGTTAGGGTGTAGTGTGAGTGTATATAGTGTAGTGTTGAGTGTAGAGAGTTGTTAGGGTGTAGTGTGAGTGTATACAGTGTAGTGTTGAGTTTAGAGAGTTGTTAGGGTGTAGTGTGAGTGTATATAGTGTAGTGTTGAGTGTATAGAGTTGTTTAGGTGTAGTGTTGAGTGTAGAGTTGTTAGGGTGTTTTAGTGTTGAGTGTAGAGAGTTGTTGGGGGTTTTGTAGTGTTGAGTGTAGAGAGTTGTTAGGGTGTTAGTGTTGAGTGTAGGAGTTGTTAGGGTGTGGTGTTGAGTGTAGAGAGTTGTTAGGGTGTAGTGGGGAGTGATATAGTGTAGTGTTGAGTGTAGAGAGTTGTTAGGGTTGTTAGTATTGAGTGTAGAGAGTTGTTAGGGTGTAGTGTGAGTGTATACAGTTAGTGTTGAGTGTAGAGAGTTGTTAGGGTGTGTAGTGTGAGTGTATATAGTGTAGTGTTGGTGTAGAGTTGTTAGGGTGTAGTGTTGAGTGTAGAGTTGTTAGGGTGTAGTGTTGAGTGTATATAGTGTAGTGTTGAATGTAGAGAGTTGTTAGGGTGTAGTGTGAGTGTATACAGTGTAGTGTCGAGTGCAGAGTTGTTAGGGTGTAGTGTTGAGTGTAGAGAGTTGTTAGGGTGTAGTGTGAGTGTATATAGTGTAGTGTTGAGTGTAGAGAGTTGTTAGGGTGTAGAGTTGAGTGTAAAGAGTTGTTAGGGTGTAGTGGAGTTTTATAGTGTAGTGTTGAGTGTAGAGTTATTAGTGTAGTGTGAGTGTATATAGTGTAGTGTTGAGTGTAGTTGTTAGGGTGTAGTGTTGAGTGTAGAGTTGTTAGGGTGTAGTGTTGGTGTAGAGTTGTTTAGGGTAGTGTGAGTGTATATAGTGTAGGTTGAGTGTTAGAGAGTTGTTAGGGTGTAGTGTTGAGTGTAGAGAGTTGTTAGGGTGTAGTGTTGAGTGTAGAGAGTTGTTAGGGTGTAGTGTTGAGTGTAGAGAGTTGTTAGGGTGTAGTGTTGAGTGTAGAGAGTTGTTAGGGTGTAGTGTGAGTGTTAAGTGTAGTGGCGCCGTGAGGCGACAGCAGCAGCACCCACACTCACGCCCTCATTTACCCACCTCCTCACCCCCACCACGCCCGTCACTCACCCTTACTCACCTCCTCACAACGTAGCCTCACTCCTCCACTGGCCTACGTATTCATAATGCTTATTCAAATCCCAGAGCAGTAGATATCTCAAGGAAAAGACTGTGTAGGAGCACTCCCGTATTTTGGTCCAGATGACTAAAGTCTATTCCCAGAACCAGACCACAACAAGGACGCTGATTGGTCGAGCCAGGTCACGTGGTACACTGCGTTCTAGCACCCTTACTCTAGGAAAATTTATACTTCACTGTATCACCACCACAAAACCCATATTCCCATACTATGGCTCACCTTGTGGATAAAAATGCACTGATCCTCCTCACTGAGTGAAATAATGTATTTTCCACACACTGGAACGCATCCTAGTCAACAACAACCTCTCTTTAGAATATATTTTCAAGGTCATACGCTATAACCATGGACATATTATCACTACTAGCTCCTCTTGTAAGAGAACACAGGTATGGTAGTGGCACGGGGCACTAGCTAGCAGCGGTGTGCACTGGCCAAGGGTTGGGAGTATTGTGTGTGTGTGGTGGGGCAGGCAGCAGCAGCCAGCAGTATGTATATCCGGTGAGGGTAGGCGCCCATGGCCTTGTGTGGCCAAGTACCAGCCTCTCTGCTGGCCCTTCCCCTGGGGATTCCCCGGATAAAACCCTCCCCCAGCTTGCTATCCAGAGGCTGGCCCCAACCAACCCCATGCAAACGTTAGTATGAGTCTTCAGTGACGTCAACATGGGGAGATTGCACACACACACACACACACACACACATAGACTCTGAGGTGTCCCTGTTTGCAGATGACGTGAAGTTGATGAGAAGAATACACTCGATCGAAGACCAGGCAGAACTACAAAGGGATCTGGACAGGCTGCAGACCTGGTCCAGCAATTGGCTCCTGGAGTTCAATCCCACCAAGTGCAAAGTCATGAAGATTGGGGAAGGGCAAAGAAGGCCGCAGACGGAGTACAGTCTAGGGGGTCAGAGACTACAAACCTCACTCAAGGAAAAAGATCTTGGGGTGAGTATAACACCAGGCACATCTCCTGAAGCGCACATCAACCAAATAACTGCTGCAGCATATGGGCGCCTAGCAAACCTCAGAACAGCATTCCGACTCTTAATAAGGAATCGTTCAGGACCCGTAACCGTGTACGTTAGGCCCATATTGGAGTATGCGGCACCAGTTGGAACCCATACCTAGCCAAGCACGTAAAGAAACTAGAGAAAGTGCAAAGGTTGCAACAAGACTAGTCCCAGAGCTAAGAGGTATGTCCTACGAGGAGAGGTTAAGGAAATCAACCTGACGACACTGGAGGACAGGGAGAGATAGGGGGGACATGATAACAACATACAAAATACTGAGAGGAATTGACAAGGTGGAAAAAGGGACAGATGTTCCAGAGATTGGACACAGTAACAAGGGGACACAGTTGGAAGCTGAAGACACAGATGAATCACAGGGATGTTAGGAAGTTTTTCTTCAGCCACAGAGTAGTCAGTAAGTGGAATAGTTTGGGAAGCGATGTAGTGGAGGCAGGATCCATACATAGCTTTAAGCAGAGGTATGATAAAGCTCACGGCTCAGGGAGAGTGACCTAGTAGCGATCAGTGAAGAGGCGGGGCCAGGAGCTCGGACTCGACCCCCGCAACCTCAACTAGGTGAGTACAACTAGGTGAGTACACACACACACACACACAGACACACAGGAGGAGAGTGGTTGAACACCTGGAACGGAACAAGATTATAAATGAAAACCAGCATGGGTTCATGGAAGGCAAAATCCTGTGTCACAAACCTTCTGGAGTTTTATGACAAGGTAACAGAAGTACAAAGGTTTGCAACAAGGCTAGTCCCAGAGCTCAGGGGAATGTCATACGAGGAAAGGTTGAGGGAAATCGGATTGACGACACTGTAGGACAGAGGGGTCAGGGGAGACATGATAACGACATTCAAGATACTGCGAGGAATAGACAAGGTGGACAGAGATAGGATGTTCCAGAGAGGGGACACAGAAACAAGGGGTCACAACTGGAAGCTGAAGACTCAGACGAGTCACAGGGACGTTAGGAAGTATTTCTTCAGTCATAGAGTCGTCAGGAAGTGGAATAGCCTAGCAAGAGAAGTAGTGGAGGCAGGAACCATACATAGTTTTAAGAAGAGGTATGACAAAGCTCAGGAAGCATAGAGGGAGAGGACCCAGTAGCGATCAGTGAAGAGGCGGGGCTAGGAGCTGAGTATCGACCCCTGCAATCACAATTAGGTGAGTACACACACACACACTCTCTCTCTCTCTCTCTCTCTCTCAGACTCAGATGAGTCAAAGGGATATTAGGAAGTATTTCTTCAGCCACAGAGTTATTAGGAAGTGGAGTAGTCTGGCAAGCGAAGTAGTGGAGGCAGGAACCATACATAGCTTTAAGATGAGGTATGATAAAGCTCGTGGAGCAGGGAGAGAGAGGACCTAGTAGCACTCAGTGAAGAGGCGGGACCAGGAGCTGAGTCTCGACCCCTGCAACCACAATTAGGTGAGTACAATTAGGTGAGTACACACACACGCACAAGCGCGCGAGCGGGGTTCCACAGGGGGTCAGTCCTGGGACCAGTGCTGTTTTTGGTATATGTAAATGACATGACGGAAGGGATAGACTCAGAAGTGTCCCTGTTTGCAGAGGATGTGAAATTAATGAGAAGAATTAAATCATGAGGATCAGGGAGGACTCCAAAGAGACCTGGACAGACTGGACACGTCGTCCAGCAACTGGCTTCTCGAATTTAACCCTACCAAATGCAAAGTCATGAAGATCGGGGAAGGGCAAAGAAGACCGCAGACAGAATATAGGCTTTGTAGCCAAGGACTGCAAACCTCGCTCAAGGATAAAGATCTTGGGGAGAGTATAATACCGAGCACGTCTCCTGAAACACATCAAACTGATATCGTTCAGGACACTGTACACCGTGTACGTCAGGCCCATATTGGAGTATGCAGCACCAGTTTGGAACCCACACCTGGTCAAGCACGTCAAAAAATTAGAGAAAGTGCAAAGGTTTGCAACAAGGCTAGTTCAAGAGCTAAGGGGAATGTCCTACGAAGAAAAGTTTAGGGAAATCGGCCTGACTACACTGGAGGACAGGAGGGTTAGGAGAGACATAATAAACACATACAAAATATTGCGAGGAATAGATAAGGTGGACAGAGACAGGATGTTCCAGAGATGGGACACAGAAACAAGGAGCCACAATTGGAAATTGAAAACTCAGATGAGTCAAAGGGATGTTAGGAAGTATTTCTTCAGTCACAGAGTTGTCAGAAAGTGGAATAGTCTGGCAAGTGATGTAGTGGAGGCAGGAACCAAACATAGCTTTAAGATGAGGTATGATAAAGCTCATGGAACAGGGAGAGAGAGGACCTAGTAGCGTAGCAACCAGTGAAGAGGGGCCAGGATCTGAGTCTCGATCCCTGCAACCACAAATAAGTGAGTACACACACACACACACACACACTATATTCAAATGGGACATGCAAATTTGAGTATACCAAAAAAAATGTAGTGACCTCCTGTCTAAATGAGTGTGTCGTTCTCCCTCCTGTAATTTCTTTCACCCAGAAATGTGCCACTCTTCGGTCCTCCAAAAGCAGTATTAAAACACCAGCTGTCCTGCTTACCATATTAAAGGGACCAGAAGGTACAGACCTCACAAGACAAACAACAGTAACTACGACAACCCAATTCCAGGTGATTTTTTAGTGGCAGGAAACAGAAAAAGAAAATGGAAGGAAATAAAAATAGTCCCCCACCTTGGAGCCTTGTTGGACTGGAGGCGCAGCCAGTGGCCACCCATGGCCCTCCAGAACTACAACTACTGATGCCATTAACAAAATTCCCCCAACAAACACAGAATACAACCTCGTTCATATTTGCTAATATACAGGGCCTTAAGCCATCCACCAACAACAAAATACCTTTTATCAGTGGACTTCTAGAGGACTCTAGTGCGATGTTTGCAGCGGAAAAGTAATGCGAAGGACCTGGGAGTGATAATGTCAGAGGACCTCGCCTTCAAAGACCACAACAATGCATCCACCTCATCTACTAGGAAAATGGTAGGATGGATAATGAGAACCTTCAAAACTAGGGATGCCAAGCCCATGATGATTCTCTTCAAATCGCTTGTGCTCTCTAGGCTGGAATATTGCTGTACTCTAACGGCCCCCTTCAAGGCTGGCGACATTGCAGACCTGGAGAGAGTACAAAGAACTTTCACGGCACACATAAGCACGATAAGGCACCTAAATTACTGGGAACGGTTTAAGGTCCTTGATCTGTATTCCCTGGAATGCAGGCGAGATACATGATAATATACACCTGGAAGGTCCCAGAGGGATTGGTACCAAATCTGCACCCAAAAATCACTCCCTATGAAAGCAAAAGATTCGGGAGGAGATGCAACATTCCCCCAATGAAAAGCAGGGGCACAACGAGTACATTGAAAGACAACACATTAAGTGTCTGCAGTCCAAGACTGTTCAACTGCCTCCCAGCCTACATAAGGGGGATTACCAATAGACCCCTGGCTGTCTTTAAGGCACTGGACAGACACCTAAAGTCAGTACCTGACCAACTGGGCTGTGGTTCGTACATCAGCTTGCATGCAGCCAGTAGTAACAGCCTGGTTGATCAGACCCTGATCTACCGTGAGGCCTGGTCTCAGACCGAGTCGCGGGGGCGTTGACCCCGAAACCCTCTCCAGGTAAACTCCAGGTCTCCAGGCTCACAGAGACCCATACAAAAGATCACTTTGACAACAAAATGTGGATAAATGGGTACAACCTTTATAGATGCGACAGAAAGTACAGGAAACAAGGGGGAGTTGGCCTGTATGTCAAAGAGTTGCTCATCTGCATGAAGATGCTGAACACCACAAATGATGTAGCTGAAGTTTCTAACAATAAAGATCGAGAACCAAAACCTAGTCATCATGGGTATGTATAAACCACCAGATGCAACCTCCTAACAGTTCAAGGAACAGCTACTGAAAATTGATTACTGTCTGGAAAACCTTCCAGCTCCATCCCCAAACATCTTACTGCTTGGTGATTTCAACCTAAGGCATACAAAATGGAAGAATGTAGCAAACAATGTTATAGCAGAAACAATCCCTGGAGGTAGTGCAGATGAAAGGTCACACACACATGAGCTACTAAGTCTCTGTGATAAACACACCTTAAGCCAGCAGATAGTGAAGCCAACAAG